GCGAGGCGCAGGAGGTCGCTTGCTCTTACACGCTTCCGAGAAAGACTCGCTTCTATGGCAGCTTGGACGACCTGAGTGACCGGTAAGTGTAGCCAGTCGGAAATATCGCGCCGGAAGGTGGCTGACCCGCAGCAGTTACAAATGCTTAGAGGCCATCGTTAGGGGAGCCTTCCCCAATGACCCCATCTCCACGGTTGCCGATCTCTTGCAGCTCGGTCAGCGCATGGGGTTTGAGATGCCCGATCTCTCTGCGGCGTCTAAAAGCACTCCCAAACTCGAGGAACTAATCAAGAGCCCGTCCTCTTCTGAGGCTGGCACTTCTTCCAGTAGTCAGCCGCCCCTTGTAGGTGATCCGGAAGGATTAGAAAATCTATCATCTCGCCAAGACGAGGGCTCCACGTCCGGCGAAGAGCCATTGGGTCTTATCCGTGACACAACCGGCAGGGAGCACTACATTGGGCCGTCAGGTAGTTTGCAGTTTCTAGGCCAGCTCCGCCGACTTCTTATTTCTCGGGACAATGGCCGGGGAGACGGGAATAACTCATCTCCATCTTCCAAATTCACGGAAGACGACACAGCCCAAGCTCTCGAAACGGACGGAAACCCAGATGATGCACCAGACCCTACCCGCGAACAGGTTCCTCAGTTACCTCTTCAGGATGGCTTATCTCCGGGCTCCATCAACTCGTCAATCGCCAAAGACTTCACTCGACAGCCATTTGATGACATCGATGAGCTCTTGCGACAGCTACCCATTCAACCAAAAATTGAGATCCTGCTGAACTCTTACTTCAAAAATGTTCACGAAGACTTCCCTCTGTTCCATAGAGGCACCTTCCAAGAGGAGTACGAAGCACATTTTGCAAGGCTCAATCTACCACCTGGCCGTCGGGATACACTGGACACGCACCAGCCCGATTATGGATGGATCGGCAGCTTGCACATGATGCTGGTTTTCGGCTCTGTCTCCGACGCGAAAGTCGATGGCGTGGACCATGTGGCCCTGAGGAGACATTGTGTTACCGTGACTAGGAAACTTCTTCCACAATTCGTTTCCAAATGCACGCTTTCAAATGTCCGAGCTCTTCTTTTGCTGAGCCTCTTCTTACACAACAACAACGAGAGAAATGCCGCATGGAACTTGGTCGGCACTGCAACAAGGATCTGCTTCGCTCTCGGACTGCATCGCAGTGATACCGGTACATCTTTCCGACCAATTGAGAGAGAAGTTCGCAAGCGCGTGTTCTGCACGCTTTACGGACTGGAGCAATTCTTGGCTTCGAGTCTTGGTAGACCGAGCGGCCTAAATGATTTGGATGTCCAGGTCACGCCTCCTAGAGAAGGCCTTCTCGGTGGCGGTCAGGACAGCGATGAGAACCTCCTGTCATTATCGCTGAGACTACAAAAAATACTGTCCCAAGCCCGGCTGGCTCCATCTGTGGCCAGTTCTAAGGGTGTAGGATTTGGGCTCGATAGCCGCCGACCAACTACGAAAGCAGTAATCGAACTTTTGAAAGAGTGGAAATTCGAGCTTGCATCCCACCGAGGTCTCGACATACCTCGCATCTTAGAAGTGGATGATCCACTGCCACGTACGACTGAGACATCGCTACAATTCGAGGAGCTCAAGTCAATGCTGGGATGGCAGAACCCTACGAGGCTACGTGCAACTCTTCTTCTACATTTACAATACCGATATATCGCCATTCTTGTCACACGACCTTTTCTCCTTCGCCGCATACAGTTGAGTCGAACAGCCAACGCCAGAGGGGCAGATCTGAATGAGGACCTTAGAACTCTATCCGATACTTGCCTCGAGAATGCCTGTCAGTTGAGCAGAATTGCGTTATTGCTTGATTCTTTCGGCCTCATTAATGGTGTTTCCGGCTTGGATGTATTTTACGCATATAACGCGGCAATGGTGCTCATCTTGCGATCATTACAACAACCCCCAAAAAATGACAAAGGCGAAGTTAACGACAAGGAGGTGTCTCTTATGATCATGTTAAAAAACCTGACAGCAAGGCTGCGAGACGCTGTGTATCGTGTGGACAAAAGTGGGACGATGAGACGATTTTTCCGAGTAATGGCTCTATTCGAGGAGAGTGTTCACCAAGAGAAATCTAAAAGGCCTATCCCCATTGCTGCTGTGGACCGCCAACACTCTATGATCGACAACCGTGTACAAGCGGGCAATCTTCCACTGCCCAACGGAGTTGGTTTTGATCATCTTCAAGCACAGCAAATGTTACCACATCATGGTGTAATGGGGAATAGAGAGCCTGAAGCTATCTATCCACAACCAGATATATGGTCACAGGGTAACATGATGACATTTGAAGGCCTACCAGATATCAATACATGGGTTGGTCCCTTCCTTGGGGTAGGGGCTGATACTCCAATGCTGGAATGGGGGGATGTGGAGACAATGCTGGGCACATATGGGCAAGCTCCTTGATTCAAGAACTCGATGCAATAATTGAGAAGTATAACTATGCAACGTGTCTCAGTTAGGAGATATCATGTCAAGTTGCGTGTCGTTACTTTCGTTCATGACAACCTTCCTCAAGTCCGGTATGCACCGATACTCTATTATGACGTAACTTAGAGCGTATAGCGGAAATCCGGATGGAGCTCCCCCAGTTTTTCCTGCTCCTCTTGGTTCATTTGTCGGAGATGATCTCGTTTCCCCAATTCGCGTTGCTTATTCTCCCACCGACAACACACCCACATGTTGATGGCTGCAATTATCCCGACCGCTTGAAATGCGATACATGTTGAGATTCCCGGCACGTACTGCGGGCCGTCTTTATTAGGAAATACCAGAGCGGAGATGATCCCGCCGAGTTGGCCACAACTGACCGCAAAAGCGGTAACAGTGCCTCTCTTGATATTGCCAACTACTTGATTGACACTGATTGTTACTGTTAGCTATATCACTTAGACTAGCTCTGGATGACATTCACTTACCACCATGCGATAACGAGTGGCTGGCATATGTAAATGCCAATTGCAGCAAAATAGAGTCCCATGTATCTCAGGTTGCCGTTCGTCAATAGCATGACGAGTAGATTTCCCATGATGCTAACAGAAAATCCTATTACGCAAAATATTCCTCTCCTTTTCAACTTGTCGCTGCAAATACCAATAATGACTGACACGATTCCTGAGGCAATGCGAACGGGGGCAGTCAACAGATTTGACTTTAAATTTGACCAGCCAAAGGTTTTAAGAATTGTTGGTTGGAACACAGACAGAGAGTATGCCGTGACACAGAATGCGAGATAGAGCGCTCCAGAAGTGAGAACTTTCCAGTCTCCAAGAGACTTGAGCACACCGTTGACGTTCATCTTCTCATGGTCCTTGGTACGATTATTGTCGTCTAATTTCAGCCTGCGCAGAACCCAGGCTTTTTCGTCTGGCTTGAGGAATGTGGACTGCTCGGGGAAAGGTGGCAAGAACAGGAAAGCGAGCAGCGCTGCTGCACAGGTCATAGCACCCTCAATGAAGAAGATCCACGACCAGCCCGAGTATCCTCGAGTTCCGTCCAGGGAGCCAAGGCCGGCACCAAGAAGGCCCGAGAATGTGCCTGCGATGTCATTGGAAACCATGAACCATGCCATCCGAGTGAGAAGTTCATGTCGTCGATACCAGGCTCCGATGAGGAAGAGGCAACCTGGAAACATTCCAGCCTCAAATATTCCAATGAAGATCCTTGCAGTGACAAGCCCAGCAAAGTTTTTACAGAAACCAGCAAATGTCACAGACAGTCCCCATCCTAAAGTTAGGAACCCGATGTAATACCGCGGAGGGACTCGGTTGAGTATCATATTGGATGGTATTTCAAGCAAAATATAGGGAATGTAAAATACTGTGGCCGTCATTACTTGTCGTCTCTACGCATGGAAAAACAAACACACACCTAATACTACAATATTGTAGTCATAGCCTGCCATATGAAGATCGCGCTCAAGGTTCCATAATCGTGCATTGCCGATGTTAACACGATCAAGAAACGTCAATGTGTATAGGAGCATTAACAATGGAATGAGTCGCCAGTCAATCTTGCGGATAACTTTCTTTGCTTCCACCGAGTCTTCCCCGTAGAGGGAACGCGAGTCAGCTTCGACATTGACAATCTCTTGCTTCTCCAACAGGGAGGGCTCCTGTGGAGTCAGTTCTGCTGCTGGAGACGGGTTCGAAGACATAGTGCCTGACTCAGGTGGGACCGCAGATATGGGGAGGAAGGAAAGATATCTCCAGAGAAAAAGTCTGCAGAGTTGAGCTCCCGGCACAAAGGTCAAGACAATGGAGCATGCTACACAGAAATATATACTTTGTCACATTCATTGCGTTGGGGTCTCAAGCCTCTTGCTTGCTTTTGGGGCCTAGCTCTCTGCCGTGTTACCAGTGGCTGAACGCCAGATTAGTCTAGATAGATAACAGTATAGGATTGCCAGAGTCTGGGGAAAAGCAAGCAAAACCCCAGCCAATTGCGGAGGAGGCCTAAATAGTGCGGGGGTTTGCTTTTGTGGGGGGATGCAATTATTCGCAAACATCATCACCGGCAGCATGGATCCGGGATTGCAAACTGACTCGTGTCCTCGTCGCTACTACATGGCCTTGTGTTTCCTCTAATCACTCCTGGAAATATTGTAGGCACCCGGCGCCTTCGATCCGATAACTCCTGTTTCTCGGTGCCTTAGGATGCATGCATCCAGCCTCCGCATTGGAAAGGTTGGTAGTGTTGTCGATCCAGGGAAGTGTAGACGGCTATGCCACAAGGCGGAGAAGTTAGATCACCACGGTTTGCGGGTTTGAGTTTTCCCATGATCATGTCAGAGTAGACAGAAATATAAGACAGCCTTCTGTCCAAGATCTTGTGCATCGTCGTTGCATCAGCCTGAGTACCTCTTCGTCACACGGAACAACCCGATTGCCTCTCCAACTTATATTTGAATTTCATATATTAGAAAGAAAGCAGTTGCAGATACATCGCGATGCCGCAGGCAGCACGATCTCTCAACGTTCTTGTTGTTGGAGCCGGCCTTGGCGGCCTCGCCACTGGCCTTGCGCTTCAGACAGACGGGCACACAGTAACAATTATCGATGCTGCTCCGGAATTCGCTGAAGCAGGAGCAGGAATCAGAGTTCCCCCAAACTCTAGCAGACTGTTGCTTCGCTGGGGCGTAGATCTGGAGAAGATGAAGAAATCAGTATCAAAGCGTTACCACTTTATCCGATGGGAAGACGGTGCAACTATTTGCAAACTTCCATTCGACAACATTGTTGAGACCCACGGCGCACCCTACTATCTGGTCCACCGGGCCGATCTGCACGCTGGACTGCTCGAGGCTGCTCGGAAAGCAGGTGTTGACATCCACACGCACAAGAGAGTAATCGAGTACAACTTCGAGGCACCCTATGCCAAGACCCAGGAGGGCGAGATCTTCAAAGCCGACCTCATTATCGGAGCTGATGGCATCAAGTCGATCGCAAGACCCCTGCTTACGGGCCAGCCTGATATCCCCCGCGACACTGGTGACGTTGCATACCGAATTCTAATACCAGGAGAGAAGCTTCTCGCCGATCCCGAACTTGCGAACCTCATAACCGACCCTTGCACGACCTCTTGGTGTGGTCCTGATGCCCACCTCGTCGGATACCCGATCCGCAATGGCGAGATGTACAATATTGTCGTCTGTGCTACTTCATACAATGAGACCACGGACGAGGTCTGGGTGATCAAGGGTGACAACAGGGAGCTGTGTGAGCGATTTGGAAAATGGGAAAAGCGTGTCCAGAAGCTGTGTGCACTTACAGGAGATTTCATGAAGTGGAGACTCTGTGACCTTCCCAACCTTACTCGATGGGCCCATCCGTCGGGCAAGGCTGTTCTTCTGGGCGACTCCTGCCACCCAATGCTTCCCTACCTGGCTCAAGGTGCAGCACAAGCCTTTGAAGATGCGGCTGTCATCAGGCAATGTCTTGCCCAGGACACCGATCTGCCCACAGGGCTCAAGAACTACGAGAGTATCCGGATGCCGAGGGCAAGCTTGGTTCAGGCCAAGACACGGGAGCATCAATACATCCTTCATATCGACGATGGCGAGGAGCAAAAAGCTAGGGATGAACGTATGCGCGTTAACGCAGCGGAGAATCCTGTCTTCTGGGGTTATGACGATCGCCGGAAATGGTTATTTAGCCACGATGCTGAGATCCTCAACAAGGATGGCGCAAACTGGAGAGAGGCAAGCCAATCTACAGGTGTTGCAGCTCACTGAACGTGTACTATCATATAATAACTGCATTAGATAGGTGCTCTGGCGAAATAGACACATAGTTGAACCTTTGCAACCACAGCTCATGCCTCAGGTGTCTTCTTCGCCACCAGCCCTGCCCGTTCCCCATTGAGAATTTCAATTAATAGAGACATCGAGCGCTTCATGAAGGTCAGATCATCTATATCGACAGCAAGATGAGTTCTAATGCGAATGAAGAACATTTCAATACAAGTCATTTAGCTAAGCAGCTCTTTGATATCCTCGATACGTTGCATTTTCTTCTCTTCGTCACTCATCATGCCAAGAGAAGTAGCGCTGGGTGCTATCAGTAACCATTTCTGGGGTAGGTTCAATCAGCAAGGAAAGTGTGCTCACATGAACTTTTTTCTGTCCTGGACTTTCAACATTCTCTCTTCCACGCTATCCTTCACGATGAAGCGACACACTTTGACTTCATCATCTTGACCCATTCTGTGTACACGATCAATAGCCTGCGCCTCGATCGCAAAACTCCACCATGGGTCCATCATGTACACTCGCTTCGCTGAAGTCAGGTTTAAGCCCACTCCACCAGCTCGTAAGCTGATAATCAAGACTGTAAATGTTGTACAGTCTTTGAATTTGGTTAACACGGCGGCACGTGCTTTCTGTGCCATGGAGCCATCCAGGCGAAGGAAGTTGATATTGGCTCTTGCCAAGGCCGGTTCGATGAGTGACATGAAAGAGGTGAATTGGCTGAAGACGACCGACTTCATGATCGGGTTTTCTCTCCGTAAAGCTCGCAAATGCTGGATCAAGGCGACGATCTTCGCGGAAGAATTATTCACACCAAGTCTCTGGAGGCTGATACGAGGTGGTTGGCCTGGCGAGGTTGGCTCGTCATCGTGTCGGATGACCTCAAAGAGATCCCGGCTGTTAATCGGTTCTCTGCAATTGAAGCATCTGGGCAACTCATGATTGTCTGTCTGGTGGTTGATGTAGTCCAACAAGCACTTTCTGCAAGCAGAGTGCCAACATCCTGTGACGGTCTGCTCTATCATGGGCTCTTCACAGCAGATGGGACATTCATTAACAGTCTCGTCTCGGATCTGAGCTAGAACGTGTGCTCCGAAGGCGTTCGAGTCCGCGTCGTCGTCCGTTGTGGCAGTGAATCTTTCAATCAACGACTGTAGGTCCATGTCATCTGCAAAGCCTGCGGCTGCATCGGCAGCGGCGCTCGCTTCTTCCTCGTCGGTGACCACATCCTGGTTCCTGACCAAGATGGGGTGGCAGCACGATTGCCGCAGCCGGAGTAATTGGGCGAATATTGTCGTGAACGCCTTCATGACTGTTCCCGCCTCCATGTTTGCTTGGAAAGTTCTCTTCGCACGCGTAAAGATGTGATCATAAACATCTCGTTCAGTCCTCGACAGCTCGACATCGACAATCTCGATTTGCTTGGGTGGCAATGCCACCAGTCTGGAATTGGATCAGTTATAGCTCAGAATGTAGTTGAATATTACACTCACGGCTGGCCATCAGGAGTCTTCATATCCTTTGTTCTTCTCATGACTAAAGGCTCAAGTACGGTCTGAACTACATCGAGCGCGCGCATAAAGTTCTTTGACTCGAACGGCACGGTGATAAATGTCCGCCAAAAGGAGAAGTTATTCCACGGCTCCACTCTAAGAAATCTTACCAAGCTGAAGAGGTCCTCAAGTTTGTTGACAATGGGTGTTCCGGTCAAGACCCATCGGTGTTCTGCAGACAACTCATAGCACGCCTTGGCTGTTTTAGATTGACGGTTCTTGATCGTATGAGCCTCATCTAGGATGATGCGGAAGAAGTTCAGTGAAAATAATCCAGACCCAACGTCTCGTCTCCCGGTCTTGGCGAGCTGTGTGAACTCAGACAAGACCACGCCATAGCTTGTGATCACTACATCAGGGGCCGATGCTGCATTGGCTTCACAACATAGGCTTTGGAGATTGCCGATCTTGTCGTTTCCATAGTAGACCATTGACTTGATAGTACCTTCAAGAGATGCATTTTCGGCCTCGCTCTGCCATTGCGCAAGTAATGACATAGGAGCAATGACTAGAGTTGTGCATGGAGCGTTGGCCACTCCCGCACCAGATGCAGAGATTCGTGGTAAGCTGTTGAGAGAGGTGATAGATTTTGGTGATTGACGGGCTTCCAATGCCACCTGAGATTTATTGGTGTGAACAAGGCTGAGCATCTGTATTGTTTTGCCCAAGCCCATCTCATCGGCAAGGATACCGCCAAGGCAATGCTGTTCTTGCCTAGGAAAGTCGAGAGACAGATCTCCAGAATAGGGATTGACGTAGAAGGTCGGCTGACCAGGTATAGGAGGTAGCTCCTGGTCGTCGACATCCTTTCCAGGCCAAGAATATTCTTCCCAGAGAGGGTGCATTGACACGTCCCTTCCCTTGTCTTTCTCGTCCCTCTCCTTTGACATCATCCAATGCAATGCTTGTTTCTGATAAGGACGAAGCGTCATGGCGAAGGTGTCAGCTGGTTCGGCCTCTGGAGTAGTAAAGTCGAAGGATTGAGCCTTCTTGTAAAGAGCATCCAACTGGTCTTGTTCGAGTTCTTCGCCATCTTCATTCTCATCTGACGGAGGTGAAGAGCCGGGGTTGTCACTAGAAGGTGTCAACATTATCCATCATATGCGGTCGCAAGTCTTACCGGCTGGAACTCTTGGATTGCTCGCTAGCTTTCTTTTCTGCCAATTCGGCTGCTTCAAGAAGTCCCTGGCGCGATTGCTTTGCAGCAGCGGCATTTACAGTGATGGGTATCAAATTAATCTCTTGTAGCAACCTCACGAGTGCCACCTGTCGGAGGCGTAGATCCCGTTCCTCGCTCGTCTCCTTCTCCTCAAACACGCCGGTCGTTCTATTCTCAGCGAGAGCAAAGCCCCGACGATAGAACGCAGATCTCAAGAGGAAACAACGAAGCTGCAAAAATACAGTATCGTTCGTCCTCAATCTCTCAGGTGCGTACACACAGGTACCCTCAAATTTGCAAACTCCTTGATCCAGCAGCGGGGAAACCCAATCGGCGGTGTCTTTTGCTAGCCGGCCAACTTCCATGCCCTTGGAGTTGGTGAATCGAACAATGACATCGACTCTCTTGGATGCAAGATTGTTCGGTCGTGGAGCTGCAACGGATACCCCCAGCTTAGCCTTTCCTTTGAGTGCGGCAGGCTGGGGAGGCTGTATTTTTTGTCGCTCGATTTTAACGATATCGCCGTGCTTCAGGAGGTTCGTACCGCTTCTTGTCGCCCAACCTTCCACGCCAAAGGCACCGATGTACCGGGATTCAGGCATTGCGCTCCGCATGGTAATCTCGGATCTGGCCACTTCACTTTTAAGCGCAGACGATGATTCTGTAGAATGTCCCGCCGTGCGTGCGAAAGCATTAAGGCTAGGAGACTTCTTCTTGAACTTTCTCCAGGTTCCGTCAAAGTACATGTTGACTGCCCTCTCGATATTGTCCCCGCAGTTTTCCTGGATGATGGCCAAAACGTCGGGACTGATTTTGTCACCTACGAAGCTCTCGAACGTCTGATGGTCGAATGCCAAAGATGCTGCGGCGTGTTTTGAAGGTCCAGCCTCTAGATGGGCAGCGGGGATACGATTTGTCATGTCATCCACGGCTTTTTCGGACAGCGGAGACCTCTTCGCAGTGGACAACAACGTATGATCTGTGGAATTCTCGGCTGAGCCATGCGAATCACTGGCAGCATCTTGGAAGAATCGAGTCTTGAGCGCTGGCGCCGGAGGGGACGTTGACGCACTGGTAGACGCCGATCCGGATGCGCCAGCATCTTCGTCTTCTATGTTTGCGAAGAACCTCCTCTTCTTTGCCGGGGGGCCGTCATAGTTTGCTGTCTCCATCATGTCCTCACAGAGCAGCATAAGCCGAGTCGCGGTTAGTCTCGTGGCCTTGCATAGGGGCTTCGACTGCAAAATTCCCAGCGGCTTGGTACCTAGGTAGTTTGGTCTCCAAGCGCAGTGAACCGACGCGCTTTCGAAATCGTGAGGCGCGACTTCCTATTTAATGGGTGGCGCGAAGGACTCGCTGTCAGGTGACCTAGTACGTATCCAGTACCTAAGCTACAGGGTAGCTCCCCATTCTAGCCTAGGTAGCAGCTACCGGTCAAATTCTCCAGTGGGGATAACGCGTTGAGTTGGCCTGTCAGAGTCGTTGTAATATTTTCCCCGTCGCATCGGTTATGTCATACTTCACTTTCGGTTGTCGAGCTACCTCGTGGAGAGTCAAACACGGACGGCAATAGGCATAGCTTCTTCTGCCTGTTGGCAGGCTTTATGATAAGATGGGTGCTTAATTGACATTTCTTTTATAACCCCAATGTTGTACACGCAACACGGCCTTCGTCATGGCCTTTTGCGGTCACTCTCACGCAGTCGGGGCGCCTTCCACCGTGGCATTGTCACGGATGCAGATGTTGAGCAGGCCCGGAAATACTGCTTAAACCAGTTAAGGTATATATATATGCCTAGATCTTACTGGCATTGAAGAGCAAGCATGCTGAACTCTGGTCTCACAGGCATGGCGATTACGACTCATACCTCATCCGCCAATTCGTGCCGAGATCTTCTCGAGATGCATACGACGCGTTGCGAACTCTGAACCTCGAGCTCGCGAGGTTACCAGAAACGGTTTCAAGTCCAATAATCGGAAAATTCAGGTTACAGTTCTGGCGCGATACTATTACAAAGGTCTTTGCAGGGGATCCTCCGCGCGAACCGATCTCGATCCTACTTCACAAGGCTATCACCGATCTTTCTTCCCGAGCTGGCAACATCAGTGTCAAATCTATGAAGTTCTGGCTTCTGAGGCTCATCAATGCTCGAGAACAATACATGGATAACAGGCCATTTACAAGTCTCGCTGCCTTGGAAGAGTACGCCGAGAACACGTACTCGACAATGATGTACACAACCCTCGCGGCCATGCCGTTGAACTCGATGCACATGGATCATCTCGCTAGCCACATTGGCAAAGCCTGCGGCATCGTGGCAATTCTTCGTGGGGTGCCAATTCTGGCTGCACCATCAGCACCAGTCAAAACACCCGGGGGCGATGTTCCGGCCGCTAGGAATCCAGTGTTGCTGCTGCCCCTGGATGTCACGGCTCAAGTTGGCCTTAAGGAAGAGGATGTGTTTCGACAGGGGCCAAATGCGCCAGGCTTACAAGATGCAATATTCAATGTTGCTACGCGTGCGAACGATCACCTAATCACTGCGAGAGAGATGCTGAAGAACCTTCATGCCGGTATAGATCCAGGACACGAATACGAGCATCAGGGCGAAGCCGAACACACTTACCCCAGCAAGCAAGTCGGCACGGGAGATGACCAGAAGGACCTTGCACGAGGCTTTGGAGTGCTTCTCGAGGCTGTTCCCGCCGCAGACTATCTTGCTAGAATAGAAGGCGTTGACTTTGATCCGTTCAAGGTCAGGAGTAGCTGGAAGCTACCGTGGAGAGTGTGGCAAGCTTTAAAGAGACAACAGATATGAGTACTCTGGGACACACCTTCAACAACCCAGAGATCGGGTAGTTCATCAATTTTGGGAGAGTCCTGTAATGGATTCAATGAACGGTTGAGATTATATCACGGATGAGAGTGCTCAATCTTTGGACTATCTTGGACTCTGGGGACACCCTCAACTGGGGAGCCCTGGAGGTGGTCGCAATGGCCCTAGTAACAATACTGTAATACAACCCATTTGCTGAATATGCCTTGAGGCACTGAGCAGCATTACGATCAGATTTAGAACATCGCTAGATCAGAGAACACATCATGCTGCCATTGGCGTTATTAAAGGGGTATCCGGAAAGTGGATGATGACGTAGTCACAGCTCGGAGATGTAGTTTGGCTGCACTCGAGGCATTGAGATAGGTTGGAATGGGAGAAGCAGAAGCATAATCTTCTCAACATGACAGCCTTTACGAGTGGCAGGCATTCTGTACGTGATATTCCTCTCGCCTCAATCAAATTATTTATTGATATCACATTGAGACCTGATGATAATACGGCGATCCATTGATACAGCTCCACCTCTACAGTCAACATCACGGCAAGATTCGGCGGCAACGGCGGCGATGGCAGCGGACGACAGGGGCAGGATGAAGAGCGTGCTGAGGGCGGGCAGCCGGGTCGGTTTCTCTTACGTTTTGTCCAGCAGCATCGGCCGGTTCCGATGGAGCCGCCTGGTCGGGTAGGGCGCAGACGGTTCACCGTAAGAACTGCAGGCCTGAGCTTTAATTTTCTCGGAACATTCCCTGACGATCGATCGGACGTGCGTTTCGCAATCGTTAGGTAATTTGAGGAAGAATGTTAGGAGCTCATGAGCTTTGGAGAAGCAGCCGCCAGGGTTCCCGGTTGTTTGATACGTAATGGAGCCGGAGCTGGGATCGGAGGCGCGCAGCCTCTAGGCAGGTCTATGCTGAAAGTCGGCGGCCGATGTCTAGCGAAAATTTTCGATCATCTCCACACTTCGCCGATATTGACTCGCAATTACGAATTTTGCACCACAAGATCGTGGACGGCCCCTGAAACTGGACATTTATCGAGTAATACTCGAGTAATAATTTGCTAAACGCAACAAACTTTGCTGAGGCAGACAACCTTGCAAAGGCACAGTAGTACTATACATTGTTATTATGGCAAACCAATAGGCTCGGCCCTTGTAACCCGTGTAAGTGGTCGTGTGCAAGCCCAGTGCCAAGTCTTTCTGTTTATGGGATGTTTCGTACCGGACTCAAGTCCGCAGTGCCTCAAATTTCTTCAATCCTGACTCAATGAGCTTGCCTCTTATGTCCACGGCCCACTAGGAGGGCTTTCATTGCAGGTCTGGAAGGGCTATGATAGGGACCGATAGGGAAAGTAGTGATGCCTAGAGGCGCCTGGATTTTACAATGCATAGATGAATGGTCAGTCGGCTCTGCGCACGTCGCGGACCGAGACCGCTAACACACCACAGAACTCGGTACTGTACAGGGATGGCGTTGCTCGAAATTCAAGTCTAAGTGGGCGGAGGTAGGAAGTCAGGAACGAAGGCTTAATGAAACTTCGAGACTCTGACTCACCGTTTAGTTTTGGAGATTGAAACGCCAGTATGCTAAATTAGTCGCCATCATGCAAGGCGGTTGTGCGACGACGGCAGCCCGAAGTGGTATGTATTCCTGGTACTGTAGGTCAGCTTTGGGTTCAGCATTGTCAACGGGCCACTAGTTGATGCACGCGCAAAGACAATTCGATGGCGTGACAGGTAGGTTGCGAAAAGCCACGACAAGTTGTCGCCATCGAATTCTTTCTGCGGTTGTCCCTCCCCAGAGGCTACAGTCCCGTTCGCTATTATGTAATTCCCATGCACGATCACAGCGATCAGCGAGTGCGGCTCGAGCAAAGCCAACGACATGGCAATCATTGTTTACTGGTACTGGCAGCTGGAATATCGTGTAACGACGAGGGTGACGCATACATAATCGGCAATTGCTCGGCTTTGGCCCAGAATCGTAGTACGAAGCAGCGGCGTAGAAAACGATTGGAATGAAAGTGTTCACCGGCGACATCAAGCAAGCTCAAATCGAGGCGGGGACACCTACCTCGAATAGTTCATGCTTCCCCAGATTTCACTTTCAGGTATGGCCACAGCTTGTTCAACCCCTCGACAAATTTGGATGGTGGCCCTGCAGCAGTTCTGCGGCCCTCTTCGGCTCTTCCTTACGCCTCAATGGTGTCCCTTGGTCTGTCACAGGTGTACCTAGTTAGGCGCATGACCTGTATTTCAAAACTGCGGGCACGAATGACACCTTCCGGTGAATGGTGACGCATGCACGCCCCGAGGTGGACGTCCGGCGCCGTCCGCGGAGATGTTGATGCTGGTTTCCAAGGACTGTGAACGATCCACACCGAAGCGCCTCCATGAGCAACCTGCAAATGTCTCTGCCATAAGGGCCACAGTAGACGACTAGAAAGAAGTGCTCGAAAATGCGGGGAAGGGACTGTGTTTCCTGATTGCTGGACGGTTGACCGATGATACAAGTGGCGCAGGCGAGGGTGGCACCTTGCTGCATCACGTACATCTACTTACACTGCACAGTGGTCTTTAGGGCGCCTGACCATCACAAGCTTTTCATATGGACTTGGTCTGGTGTGTAAAGATCTCCCTCGACCATGCAATTTGTTGGTCATTTTGAATATTTCTGCAAGAGATGTTGAAGCATGCGCACATCGCAATATCAAAATCCTGTCAATCACTGATGATTCAATGACGTACAGTCCTTGGATCCGGT